AAAATCTAATGGTCATGTCATAAAAACACTTCAGTAATTGAACCAGACTGCCAACAGATTCCCAGTCCATAAAATCAGGAATTGAATTACCCAAATCAGACTTCAAAGAGCAATCTGACTCCAAAGATTCAAACACTTTTTGGTAAGTTAATGCAGACTGCAACATCAAATAGGTAGAGTTCAATCTGGTTGGAACATCTAAACACAAAGAAGACCTTTGTTCAATACTCAACCAATCAGCCAAATCCCTGAACTTCTTGAGTCTAGCAGGAGAGTTTCTAACATATCTAACCACCTCCCTAACCTTCTTAACTGAACTATCACAATCTTTAAGACCATCTTGAACTACTAGGTTTAAGATATGGGCAATACATCTCATGTGAAGATACTTTGTCCTCACAGTAGATGATCCCCAAGACACCAATTTTTTCTTCAGAAACCCCATAGCAGTGTCATTTGATGAGGCATTATCAACAGTCACAGGAAACACATCTCTAAGCCCCCACTGAAGCAAACAATTTTCTAGGGCTTTGGCTAGATATTCACCTTTGTGAGAGGTAACAGGGACAAATGCAAGGATTTTCTTATGAAGCTTCCACTCAGAATCAATGAAATGGGTAGTAACTACCATGTAGTTAATTCTTTGGATGGATGTCCAAAAATCTGTAGTGATACTAACCCTATGACTGCTTCCCCTTAAAAATGACTTCAATTTCAGTCTCTCCTCATCATAGACAACTAGGATTTCCCTACTTATAGTCCACCTGGATGGAACTATAAACCTAGGGCAAGCAATAGTTATGAACCTCCTGAAACCTATTCCCTCCACAAACCTAAAGGGCAATTCATCTATGATTATCATTTCAACCAAGGCCCTCCTTATTGACTCTTGATTAAAAACCCAAGTCCCTATTTCTCCCACAGTAGGCTGACCATCTGTAAGTGATGTAACAGCCTGAAATGTTAACAAGGACTGCCTAGTTTCCTTGGAGTGATGATTTTTCAAACAACTAACCATGTGATTTCTTAAGGAAGAAGTCCCATGTTTTTTTGTCTCACAGTGGTTAATTTTGGCACAATAAATGCATTTGCCTTTTACAACCACATTATTAGTATCCTTTATTGACTCAAAATGATCCCACACTGGTGATCTGGAAGCAACCTGTTTCCTCTTCTTGGCTGGAACAACAGTAGGATGTTGCACATTCTGTTGATTCTCAACAGTTTGGGCTTCCACCCCTGAAGGTCCATCAATTGAGGAGTTGGGAGGTTGACTACCAGACATACTGATATTATCCATCTAAAAATGGTAAACTATCAGTACACACAGCAGGATTCATAAGCATTCCAGAATCAAACACATTTTGTGTCATCATTAAACATGAATGCATAATTAATTAAAGGGCATTATTCAATACAAAATTACAAATATACAAATACAATTAAGGGAATACATCCATAAACTTACAAAGAAATCCAGATTCAGGGATATATTTTAAATATCCAGATGAATCAGAGACTGTTATAACATAAAAACAGCTCATTTCATCAACATCATTATAAGAATTTCTATGGGGCTTCCACCAATTAAAGCCTTTAAGAGACATTATAAGTTTATAAAACTCAAATTTATAAGATACAATCTGGAACTTCTCAACAGATTGACTTAATCACAGTCCACAGAAATCAAAGAATCATGGAAACCATAATCAAGTATCATAACATCACAAACAAGGGACAAGTGATATACAATCTGGAACTTCTCAACAGATTGACTTAATCACAGTCCATAATTCAAAGAATCATAGAAACCATAATCAAGTATCATAACATCACAAACAAGGGACAAGGGACAAGTGATATACAATCTGGAACTTCTCAACAGATTGACTTAATCATAGTCCACAATTCAAAGAATCATAGAAACCATAATCACACACAGTCAGTGCTTCCTCCAGAAATCCAGAATGTCACACAACATATCACACATTCACAGATTCTGAAATCAATTTTATAACACTAGGGTTTTAATAAAAAGTCAGTGCTTCCACCACATTATCACAGAGACACAAAATAGATCACAAATTCGCAATAAACTCAGAGAAATATGTCAATAACTTTAAGAAATAACTTTTACAAAACTAGGGTTTGCAGTAACAACTAACAAAGTCAGTGCTTCCACTACAATATCACAGAGACCACATAATACATCACAATAAATTTAAGAACTGCAAATATATAAAAATAGGGTCAGCGAGTTAATTCTTTTCTCACAAATACCCCGGAGAACGAGGGCTTCAGGCCCGTTTGGTTCACGGAATAGGCCGGGAATGGCATAGCATTCCCAGTAATAGGCCTATTCCGTTGTTTGGTAACCATTTCTATTACCAGGAATAATATTCTTGGTAATAGCCTATTACCTCAAATAAGGTAATAGCTATTACTAGGGCCCCCCCTGGTATTAGCCTATTACTGAACGCTCATGAATAGATTTTAGAATCTATTTCCTTTTTTACCCCTTTCTTTAACCAAATTTTTTTTTATCATATATATAAATATATCCTATTTCACTACCGTCGTTGCCGCCACCACCATCACCGCCGCCGCCACCACCACCATCGTCGCCGCTGCTACCACCACCATCGTCGCCACCACCATCACCGCCGCCGTCGTCGCCGCCACCACCACCACCACCATCGCCGCCGCCACCGCCACCACCACCACCATCGCCACAACCGTCACTGCCCCCACCACCGTCGCCGCCCCCACCACTGCCACCGTTGCCACCACCACCGCCACCGCCATTACCACCATTACCGCCACCGCCACCACCACCACCATCGTCGCCGCCGCCGCCGCCACCGCCACCAGAACCACCACACAGCAGCACCACCGCCACCACCACCACCACCACCACCGCCACAACCGTCGCTGCCCCCACCACCACTGCCACAACCGTCACCGTCAACACCACCACCGTCGTCCCCACCACTGCCACCGCCACCACCACCACTACCACCCTAGCACCACCACCACCACCGCCACCACCACCGTCACCATCACCACCATCACATATTTTTATAAGGGTATTTATGTCTTTTAAAACATATTTCATTTCTATTCCTTAAATCAACCAAACACTGTAATATAATTCCTAAAGTCTATTCCTTCCGCGAACCAAACAATAGAATACAAATCCTATTCTATTCCTTGCCTATTCTATTCCTTATGGAATAGCATTCCTATTACCTCAAAATTCATTCCGTGAACCAAACGTGCTGTCAGAGTCTCAGAGAATGAGAGAAGAGAAGCTCTCGTCTGGAAACCCTAGCAAGAGAAGAGAATCAAGAGACTGACTGCGCAAATGTGAAGTTAGGAGTAACAACATATATATATACTAAGCCTAAACGACGTCGTATTGCTATCTACGTACGCAACCCTAGTATTAATCGGGTATTCGGACGGATCGGGTGTATTTTTTACCCACCCTACCCGAATGCCGTAAACCGACGTCGTTTTGGATGTCGGTTCGGTTTCGCGAATCGGGTAGCGGTTCGGTTCGGGTGGTCTTGGTCGGTTCGCGGTTCGGCCGGTTTTTTCGGGTTGTTCGGATTCTGCTAAGCCCTATATATATATATATATATATATATATATATATTGAGAACCTATACTACCCTACTTCACAAAGAACTTGAACTAGGATGTTTGACCCAACCCAGCGCTTGGAATTCTACCTAGAACAAGTTTAATCATCGACTCACACTTGTGTGAGATTATCTTATGAATCCTTATTCGGGTCAATATGTAAATATAATACTTAATTATACTAATAAATGTAATACAAAATCAAGAATAAAATGTTTGTTACTTATAAGATAAAACATAATACTTTTAAAGACATATATGATTAGAAGTTCCTGTACACGATTTTTCTCTCTACCCTGATATCTAGGGTTTCTCCATCTTCCTACCCTGGAATCTAGGGTTTTACCGAATTCTTGAAGCAAACGATCATCGGCGACTGGCTTTGATTCTTGTTCGACGTCAGCATGGACATTCAAGACCTTGTCGACACTACGGCTGATATTACTCTGGAGGAAGAAGACCTTGGCGTGCGATTTGAGGAAGAACCGGCCGGCGGAATTGATCAAACAGCAGTTAATCGGACCTGGTCGATAGTTGGGCGCTTCTTAACTAATAGGCCGATCAAGAGTGAGATGATGAAGAGGGTTCTGGCGTCGGTATGGCGTTCATTGATGGGCATCGAGGTGACAGATGTGCAGCCGAATCTCTTCCTATTCACCTTCTTCGACGAAGCGGATAGGCTACGTGTTTTGGAGGAGGGTCCGTGGGCCTTCGAAAACGCTTCACTGATTTGCCAGCCTTTGCATGGTGATGACAATCCGGCGCTGGTAGCATTGAACTCGATAGACTTGTGGGTGCAAGTGTTTGATCTTCCTACATACGGAGAAGGTATTGGAAAAGGTTGGTGACTTTGTGGGGATATACTTGCGGGTGGATGATCGGAATTTCACAAGACCATGGGCTACCTTCTACCAAGTTCGGGTTAGGCATGATGTGGCAATGCCCTTGAAACGCCGCATGAAGATGATTTTTTTGTGGCAAGTTGGGACACACGGATAAGTTCTGTCTTGATGCGAGACGGTCATCACTCAGGCCCGAGCAGTATTTGTATGGTCCGGCTTTGAAGGCGGGGGGTATGAGTCCGGCCAAGGTTCTAGGGGATCGGTGGTTTCAACTGGGGCAGGAGCGACGACGTGAGATAGGGAATGGCGGGGTGCCAGGTGGAGAATTACGGCCAGTCGGGACTGCCGTGGCGGTAATTGGTGAGGCGGTGCGTCCGGACGCCGGGGGCAATCTGGATGGGGTTAGCCGTCCAGTGGGGGTTTCGGGAAGTAGTGCTGGGGCGGAGGAGGGGGTTAGGGTGGATCCCAAACGGCGTAGGGGGGCTGACGGTGGTGTGGTGGAGGTGGATGGAGGCATGCAAGTGGAAGTATCATCTTCTTTTTTGGTGGGACCTGGGGACCAAGCCCGCCGTTCCCAATGAGTACCTTGTTTTGGAACTGCTGTGGCTTGGGCAATCCACGGACGGTTCGAGAAGTGGTGGACCTTGTGTCCAAAAGGAAGCCGGATTTTGTTTTTTTGATGGAGACGATGGTAGATGGTAGTCATGCTGAGAGGTTACGAGTTAAACTGGGTTTTGAGGGGTGTTTTAAGGTCGACAGTCATGGTCCAAGGGGGGGGGGGGCCTGTGTTTTCTTTGGGCAAAGAATAACTATGCTAGCTTGATCAGTTTTACCGATAATCATATTGACTTGGTGGTGTTGCTTCCAGGAAGGCCGCAATGGAGGCTCACGTGTTATTATGGCTATGCTCAGAGAAATAGGAGAAGGGCATCATGGGATTATTTGAGGTCACTTAAAGGGGTTTCTGTGTTGCCGTCGGTGGTTCTGGGGGACTTTAATGATATATTGGCCCAATCAGAGAAGAGGGGTAGATTGCCGCATCCGAATGGTTTGATTGAAGGTTTCAGTGAGACCCTGGAGGATTGTGGTTTGGTGTCTCTTCCCATGATTGGCTATCCTTTTACTTGGGAAAGGGGCAAGGGTACTGTGGATTGGGGATAGGGTAGTGGCTTGCATAGATTGGCTGGGTCAGTATGATAGGGCGAGGGTGTACAATATCCGTACGAACTCGTCGGATCATTCGGCTCTCTTTATGGATATTTATGGTTTAGTGCATGCTGCTAGGCCACGTAGTTTTCGCTTTGAGAATGCGTGGTTGTTGGATGAGGGTTGTAGGGGGGTGGTGGAGCACGAGTGGGCCAATTCGCAGGGTTTGAATATGCAGGCTAGGCTTGTTCAGTGTGGAAAGGGCCTGAAAGCATGGGGGGGGGGTGATCGGCATCACAAGTTTGGAAAGCGGATTGGTGTGCTACGGAAGGAGATGGATATGTTGCGAGGTAGTCGTGATCCTGCATCATTGGCCCGGTTTGCACAGCTAGACAGCAGTCTAAATCTAGCCCTATCCCAGGAGGAGGCGTTTTGGAGGCAGCGTGCTAAGCAGCACTGGCTGTGTGGGGCAGATCGTAATACAAAGTTCTTCCATAAGTATGCGTCACACCGGAAAAAGAAGAACTTTGTTGAAAAGTTAAAGAATGATAACGGGGTATGGCAGGAGGGTCAGGCTTTGGATTCGCTGGTTACTTCTTACTATAAACAGATCTTTGTTTCAGGGGGTTCCCCGGGGAATTTCAGAGTGGATTCATTGCAAACACGTGTGACTGAAGCACAGAATACACAGTTATTGCGCCCCTTTGAGCCGGAGGAGGTGCGGGCTGCGTTATTTTCTATGGGCAAAGTTAAATCTCCTAGTCCGGATGGCATGAATCCTGGTTTCTACCAAGCTTTCTGGGATGTTATTGGTAAGGATATTACTTCCTTTGTTCTTAATTGTCTATCCCAATCAACTTTTCCTGATTGCTTGAATGATGCAAACATTGTTTTGATTCCTAAAAAATGTGTTCCCGAGCATGTTTCTGATTTACGCCCGATCGCCTTATGCAATGTTATATATAAGATCATGGCTAAGATGTTAGCAAATCGTATGAAACCCCTGTTAGAAAGTATTATATCATATTCACAGAGTGCGTTCCTTCCGGGTAGGTTGATCTCGGACAATATACTGATTGCTTCTGAGGTTGGAGATTACTTGAGGAGGAAGCAGTTAGGCCAGGTAGGGTGGGCTGCACTAAAACTTGATATGGCAAAGGCATACGATAGGATGGAGTGGTCCTTTGTGAGTGATATGCTTGTTGGTCTGGGTTTCGATTAGGGATGGCAATTTCAATCCGACCCGTGGATATCCACCCGAATCCACCCCGTATGGATCGGGTTTTTTTAGGTGATGGTGGGTCAGGGGTGGGTCTTAAAAAAGCAAACCCGCGGTGGGTCGGGTTGGATTCGGGTTTTATGTACAAGACCCGGCTAGAACCCCACTCGACCCACCATGTCTGTGTGTGTGTGTGTGTGTGTGTGTGTGTGTATATATATATATATATATATATATATATATATATATATATATATATAAAATAGTAAAATAAGTACTAGTATGTAGTTATTTATAAAAGTTTATATAACTTCGTGTATCTTTTTACTATTTTTTACATCAAAACTACTAAGTTTATTTTTAAAAATTAACAATTTAGTTATTATATTTAAATATTTCCATTATTTATGTTTTAGTATCACTAATGGATTTTATTTTTTTATTATGTGTAAATAATTTAAATATTATTTTTTGAAAAACATAATAAGATGATAAGTGGTGGGTACCCGTAGTGGGCACCCGCACCCGGTGGAGGTGGGGGTGGGTTCTGAAAAAGTCCACCCGATGCGGGTTGGAGGTGGGGGTGGGTGGAGAAAATATAAGGTGGGTCGGGTGATGGATGTAGCCCTCCCCGACCCACACCCGACCCATTGACATCTCTAGTTTCAATGCTAAATGGGTACATTTGATTATGTTGTGTATCCAAACCGTACGATACAGGGTATTGGTTAATGGCAGACCTACGGAGGAGATCGTGCCTACAAGGGGGTTACGGCAGGGGGATCCCTTGTCACCTTATCTCTTCATAATCTGTGCAGAAGGTCTATCTTTGCTTTTGCAGGACTCACAATCAAAAGGGCTTATTCATGGATGTAGAGTGGCCCGGGGGGCACCACCGATCTCACATTTGTTTTTTGCAGATGACAGCTTGCTCTTCTTTAAAGCTAATCTGCAGGAAGCATTGGAAGTTAAAAGATGTTTGGGGGTTTATGAGTCCTTCTCTGGCCAAGCGGTGAATTTCCACAAATCGAGCATTTCATTCAGCCGAAATACACAAGCAGAGATGCGGGATCTTGTGTCAGGGTTTATGACGGTTTCTCAGGCGGAGGATTTTGGGAAGTACCTGGGTTTGCCTTCCGTTGTTGGCAGAAATAGGAGGGCGGTTTTTGCTTACATTGAGCAGAAGCTGAGACAGAGATTTGGCTCGTGGAATAAGAGGCTGTTAACTAAGGCAGGTAAGGAAATCTTTTTGAAGAGTGTGGCGTAGGCCATGCCAACTTATACAATGAGTATTTATCTGCTTCTGATCACTTTATGTGCTTCTCTGGAGAGGTTAATGAACAGGTACTGGTGGGGGAATGGGGGCAATGATAGTAACATACATTGGTTGGCCTGGGATAGGATGTGCAGTCCAAAGAAGTATGGTGGTATGGGCTTTAAACGTTTGCACGAGTTTAATCTTGCTCTATTGGCTAAACAGGGTTGGCGGCTTCTTACTAATCCCACATCTTTAATGGCACGTGTTTTTAAGGCGAGGTACTTCCCAACTACATCCTTTTATGAGGCTACTATTGGTGGTAACCCAAGTTATGTCTGGAGAAGCATTATGGCCAGCCAAGATTTGATAAAATCTGGTTGCAGGCGCAGAATCGGAAATGGCACGACTACGCAGATTTGGACGATTCCGTGGCTTCCGGATCGTCAGAATCCTTATGTTGAAACTGATCAAGCTATTAACGGACACCCAATGTTAGTTTCGGAGTTGATTGATGCCCATACGGGTAACTGGAATCTGGAACTTTTGCAACAGAACTTTAATACACGGGATACACAGTTGATTTTGAGATTGCCTGTGAGCATGGATTTTGAGGATATTTGGTATTGGGGGGGGATATAAGGGGGTGTTATTCAGTTAAAGATGGATATAGGAGGTTGGGGTTCTTGAATTCGGACCCATAACCTGTATGGAATAATATTTGGAAGCTGCAGGTTCCCCCCAAATGGAAGGTGTTCCTATGGAGATCACTTTTGAATATATTGTCCACCCTTGATAATTTGATTATTAGGAGGGTCGATATTATTAATATATGTCCGTCTTGTGGTTTGTTTGAAGAGTGTGTTATGCATGTTTTTTGCTCGTGTCCATTTGCTATTAATGTTTGGCAACTTTCTCAGATTCAAATTCCCCCGTTTGCCAACAGGAATTTTTTCCAATGGACGGAGGAGTGGCTTGGCGGCTCATCCGGGTATACTCGAGAGCTACAAGGCAGAATATGTGGTATTCTCCATAGCATTTGAGCTGCTAGGAACTCGGCTGTTTGGGAGTATGTTGTCCCACGGCCGGCTTTGCTCCTGGGGCGACATGCGGCTCAGTGGACTGTGTGGATGGATAGTCAGCAGGCCCGTGGAATTAATAACACCAGCAGCGCCGTTACATTGCATGCACAAAGTGATAACCCACCACCCTTAGTCTAATGTTACATTGATGCCGGCTTTCACGGCTCTCAACACGCAGCGGCTTATGGTTTTGTAGTCTTTGATAGTGATTCCTCCTTCGTGGCAGCAGGTAATGGTCCCTTGCCGTGTCCGTATGATCCCCTCTTGGCGGAAGCTATGGCAATGTGTGAAGCCCTCTCTTGGTTGAAGGATAACGGGTACTCAGGTGGCAGAATCTATACTGACTCAGCAGTTTTGGTTTCGAGTCTTACACATGCTAGTTCGTTTCGTAACTATTTTAGTTTCATTCTTTTATCTTGTACTCGCCTACTTAATGCTTTACCAGGTTCCCAGGTTTTATTTGTTAATAGGGAGGCCAATCATGTGGCGCACTCCTTATCTAAGCATGTATATGTTGTAGCAGGTAGAACACTCTGGAGGGATATACCTCCTTCTTTTATTGAGCCCTTGGTGGCTAATGCAATCTGATTAATTTGGCTTTCAAAAAAAATAATACTTTTAAAGACAAATGTAATACTTTTATATTTTGATGTATAAGTATTATTATTTTTATCAAAAATATTAAATTTTTTCTTATGAGTAATGTTTGACTTATATACAACTATATATCGTACTAAAGCAACATTATAGGTAGCAAATGAGAAGTTTGGACAAGTCAACATAACATATTTAGATTGATTTTGGGTTTTATTAAACTACTATATATGTGTGTGTGTTAAATTGTGAATTATTTGGAAAGAATTATTTACTTTTTTGTTATAAAATTTTTAAAAATAAATTATTTGTATAATATTTGTTTAATGCATAAAAGTTTTAGGTGATAAAACGTTCATCTAATCTAAAATCATGGCATACATATGAAAGGGTTGGTAATTCAATTTGTGATTAGTGAACTTTCTCTGTTAGTTACAAGTTTACACCATCTCCAATCTAACCCAAATTACACCAAAACATTAAAGCTCACATCAAAAAAAAATATTTTCACATCAAATTTTATTCATCATCTCTAACTCATCACTCTAAATGTTATTGTATACTAAAATAATTTTTTTTTTTTGAGAATAAAGACATTAATTCATTAATCATAAGGCGAAACATTTACAATAAAGATCGATAGAATAATAAAACATTCTTTATAGCCAGACACCAGGACTATGTGGTTTAATGGTACCTAGGTTGGATTTCCATTTGGAAGGTTGTGAGTTCGAGCCTTAGTGGAAGTGTTACTTTGATACTACAATGTAATAGAGTCAGTGGGAAGGGGGGAGGTTAAACCTGTGGCTAAGGCGGAGGGGCGAGGCGAAAACAATGAAAGCCTTCGCGGCTAAGGCAACCTCCCGTGGCTAAGGCGGAGGGGCGAGGCGAAAACAATGAAAGCCTTCGTGGCTAAGGCGGAGCCGGCGGCCGTACACTAAAATAATTTGGTTTCTCAAAATTTAAAAGTTTATTAGTTAATATAAAATATAAATCTTGATGTAAATAATAATTTTTTAGCATGCCAAATAATAATTTTTTAGCATGCCAAGCACCTTGTGCTCATATGGCATGTAGTGACCTCTCCCATGTGGAGGTCATGAAATCGAACTTTAGTGGGGGCGTTGCTGACTCTTTGTGCTTTATTAGGTTGAGAAAGAAAGTATAGGGTCAATAGCATTTAAAAAAAATATTTTAGTACAATTAAATTTTGGATGTGTTTTCAAATTTTTTTTTGGATGTAATCATTTTAATTTTGTTAAAATTATGTTTTATATAATTTAATTTTTAATTAATCTATATTAAATATTAGTCTTATTTTAATCGCTTTGTTGAGATCTCTCAACTGATATTATTTATGTTTAATAATATAAAATATATGTATAAATATTTAACAAAATATATAAATACATAAAAATAAAATAAAAGATTAAAACGAAAATAACAAAAAATAATAGGTGCAAAACAAGAATATAATTTTTTTTTTTAAAATAGTGTAGATGAACAATGTTGCGCCATATTTAGCTCAACATTGTTCACTATCATAAAAAATTTGTCATTTTACCATCTCCGTTGGAGACGAAAATTAACCCCCCCCCCCCCCCCCCCCCCCCCCTTTTTTTTGCCAAGTTACCATTTGTTGCTACCTTTGGAGATGCTCTTACATTGTCTCACTCACACAATTTTTGATTGGACAATATAAAATGTGAAATATCTCATGGTGTGTTTGGTTCGCACATTAGAATCGGAATGGAAATGAGAATCAAATACTTGTAATGTTAATGGATTTTGGTAAAAGTATTTTACATGTTTGGTAGTAGGGTGGAATTGGAATGATTACCAATATTGATGTTTGGTTATGCATAACTCTATAATAGGAATAAATGTTTTAAAAATATCAAAACAAGAAATTCAAGGCAATTGATCACAATATAATGACATCCAAAACACTACTATGAATAAAAAAAAATAAAAATAAAAACCTAAAAACACTAATCCAAACTTAAAAATTGTATTACTAATAAGATAGAATGATACCCGTTTTTAATTATGGAAGGAGGTTTTAATTGAATGTGTAATCAAATCTCATAGTTGTGTTTTAAAAAGTTGTCAACCAAATACTAACTATTATTTTTATTAATATTTGATGCACCGCCTGTGTATAAATGATATACACTGGCAGTTAATGAGGAAATGACACATCATTAAAAAATAAAATTAATTTTAACTGGGTTTTTTTTTTGCAAAATATCTAACACTTGTATTTTTTAAGAAACTCTTTTATTTCTAATTAACAAAATATATATACTTTCCTAAATATATTTATTACTTAATTATTATATATATCTAATTATCTAATTATTAATAATGATAACAATTCTAAAACCTGGAAAAGAATTAGACATTCATTAATTAACAAAAACCATCTAATTTCCTGTAATGATAGGGTGTTTGGTTGGAGGGATTTTAAATTCCCTTCCTACTTAATTCCCACCTAATTCTTTTCCAGGTTTTAGAATTGTTATCATTATTAATAATTAAATAATTAGATATATATAATAATTAAGTAATAAATATATTTAGGAAAGTATATATATTTTGTTAATTAGAAATAAAAGAGTTTCCTAAATAATACATATTTTGCAAAAAAGGACCCCATTAAAATTAATTTTATTTTTTTAATGATATGTCATCTCCTCATTAACCGTCGATGTATAGCATCTATACACCGACGATGCATCAATTATTAATCCTTTTTGTAGCATTAGTATAGTGCGCTACAATATTCATTACAATTACTCTTATGTATTTACTCTACAGGAGTCATAATAATAAATTTAATTAAAAATAGCATGCATAGACCCTAAATTCTGAGGCTAAATAAATTGAGGAAATTTTTAATTTCAACTAGTACTCTAAATGAAAACCAAAATTGTTTCTTATTATTTTATTTATAAAATTATGGCAATTTATATCATGGATTCATGGACCAGGGTCCACATAGCATTATACATCATAACACAAAACACAAAAAATCACAACACAAGACACATAACATAACATTATGGATTGGGCTAGATTGAAAAGATGAGGTCCAAAATTCATACTTGTAAGGTACAGAATTTCATAACACAAAGCACAAAAGAATCATAACACAAGATACATACACATGTTATTATATATTTACTTATTTTTCAAATTTGATTTAGGTACATAATTTGTTATCATAGGCACAAAATTTCACAACACAAGCCACAAAAATTCATAACATAAGACACAATTGAGAATTTGTTCCAGGTACAGAATTCATACTCATAAGGTACAAAATTTCATAACGCAAGACACAAAAAGTCATAACACAAAATACAAATACATGAACCAAGATCCATAGTGCAATGTTAACCCTAGTCCATGGTATAACAATTGTAAAATTATCTACTGTTATATTTCTACAATTAATGTTTAACAAATGCTATCGAATTTTTTGATTTGAGTCGATCAACTATAAACAATTTAAACTGATTTATTTCATTGTGATCTTTTACCGACTAAGATCACGATACGAGTTTTACCCATAATGAACATTCAAGTAACAACTATTGGTTTCCTTATAAATCAAAGATCACATTTACTAACAAGTTTATTAAAGATGGTAAGAAGTTAACATTGAAGTGTAATGTTATAAAATTTTAAAAAAAAAAAAAAATTGTATATATGTACATGCAATTAATTTTTATTTTTATTTTGAAAGGATGCTATTAATTTAAAACTATATTCAATAATATGTAGCTAAAAATATTAAATAAGGTCAAGTGGTTCACACAACGAGGGCCTACTATCACGTTATTAGCCTAACACAATTATTTGATGAATATATATTTCGATTGTGATTCTTTTAAGTCGTGGTTGCCTACTTGTTCAATGTATTAGCTTTGACTTTTTAAAAGAAATTAAACTAACAAAAATCTATAGTTTTATATTTTAAAATAATTGTTTAAGTACTCCTATTAATTAATAGGTAATGATGAAAACAAAGGAAATTTGTGCATCAAATTTTCCAGTGAAAATTTGTGAGTATTTATTTTGAAAGAGATTCACTAACGATTTGTGAGCCAAAGTAAATTATAATTTTTTAACTGAAAATATGTTTTTCATATACTTATATGTTTGGCATATATATAATTAATAAGTGGATGATAAAGTAATTCTGAAAGTGTATTGGTTTTTTTTTTTTTTTTTTTTTAAGAAATAGTTATAATGAGTATAACTTGTAAGGAAAATAAAAGAATCACCTAGTGCGTGTTTAATTCATTTATTTGTCTTCTATTTTATATATTTTTTAAAATAATATCCTTAATTTTCTTATATATATATATATATATATATATATATATATATATATATATATATATATATATATATATATATATTTCATATCATTTTTCAAGTCAAAAAATTCAAACTTATTTGAAACACAATTGATTTTTCACTTTAACATACAAATGATAGTGATGAATGAAATAATATCGAGTAACACAAGTGTGTGAGTGGTGAGTTTCGAGATTTTATTTGGATATATAATATGATATAAACATAGAGTTAATACCCAAAATCGTCTTCGACTATAGTGGTTTTTCTCAATTTTGTCCTAAACGACTTTGGTGACTTAATGTATAGTCCCAGAGTTTTGTGTTTTTACTCAATTTCGTCCTAGACTTTTGTGTTTTTTCCTCAATTTAGTCCCTCATTTGTTATTCCGTCCATTTGTTTTTAAATAAATAGACAATTCAGTAATTTTAATATTGGCATCTCTTTATTCATAGACATGTAAAGTGCGAAATCCCTCTTTTTTACGAATTACTCCCAGAATCACTTCTAAAGCTGCGAATATAAAATTTGATTCGTAGGTCTGAGAGTAACTCTGGGTGTAATTCGTGTAAGAAATAGAGATTTCTCACTTCGCAGGTTAAAGTAAAGAGAGGTCAATATTGATGTTATTGAATTGTTCCTTTATTTAACACCAATTTGACGAAATAACAAATGGAGGACTAAATTGAGCGAAACGCAAAAGTCTGGGACTATATTAGGTCACCAAAGTCGTTTAGGACGAAATTGAGAAAAACCACTATAGCCGAGGACAATTTTGAGTATTAACTCTATAAACATATAATCTTAAGTAAAGGTGGGATGTTATTTTGAAATAAGTAGATGAAAAATGGAATATATAAATGATGGTAAAGTAGAAAAGTGTAGCCATAGTAGATAATAGTGGTAATTCGAAGATAAGTAAATAAATAAGATAAACATATATGGGTAGAAGTATATAGATGAGTTGATTGGTAGATTATAAATAGATAAGTAAAGTTAAACTTTTATGGTGGTTATAAATGAAATTGTTTGTGGAGAAAATTACACTTTTGGTCATGTGATTATTAGAGTATTGTAAATTTCTTGGGGCGTTCTCGAAACGGATAGGGACGTGCGGAGCACTGGAGGCTGAATTGTGGGGAATCCTTACGGGGATGGATAAAGCGTGAGAGAAAGGCTATAAAAAAGTGTCTTTCGAATCTGATTGCAAAAAGACAGTGGAGCTTATCACTGATACAAGAGATTTCGAAGGGGAGACAAGGAACATTGTCGACCTTTGCAAAGCAGGAATTGGGAGATTACTTTCAACCATATTCCGAGAGAACAAAACAGAGTAGCTAACGCGTTAGCGAGAGAAAGCTTGCAATAACGACAACGAGTTTAAGTGGTTCGATTGCCCACCAAGGAACATTCAAAAATGATTGCGTGAAGACGAGATCAGCCTTCTTGGTGCTCAGAGCATTGTGAAGATCAGCTATTGATCTAGGATTTAATCCCCCCTCCTTAAAAAAAAAAAAAAAAAAAAAAAAAAAAAAAAAAAAAAAATTAGTCCTGTAACAAAATCCCAATAGTCACAGGATCAAAAATGTAATTTTCACTTGTTTGTGTTTTTATATTTTAAAGAAAGTGTATTTTGTTTTATTAAGTTGAAAAAATGAAACAAAATTGTTTTCTAATTTAAAAAATTAAAAATAATGCAAGAGCATCCACATGAGTAATTCTATATGTACTTCCATTTTTATGATTTTTGAGAATGATTATACTTAGGTGGAGGAGTATTCAAAAAATACTTAGGTGGAGGAGAGAGAATAGGAGAAAAGAGAAAGAATGAGCTGTGCTCCTCCTACAAAACATTGATGGCCCGTTTGGTTCACGGAATAGGCTGAGAATGGCATAGCATTCTCAGTAATAGGCATATTCCTTTGTTTGGTAACCATTTCTATTACCATGAATAATATTTCTGGTAATAGCCTATTACCAGGAATAATATTCCTGGTAATAGCCTATTACCTCAAATAAGGTAATAGTTATTACTAGGGCCCCCCTGGTATTAGCCTATTACTGAACGCTATGAATAGATTTTAGAATCTATTTTCTTTTTTACCCCTTTCTTTAACCTAATTTTTTAATCCTATATATAAATTTATCCTATTTCACCAACGTCGTCGCCACCACCACCATCACCCTCGTCGCCGTCGCCGCCGCCACCACCACCATCGCCACAACCGTCGGTCGTCACCGCCCCCACCACCACCGCCGCCACCATCACCACTACCACCCCAGCACCACCACCACCGCCACAACCGTCGCCGCCTCCACCACCATTGCCACAATCGTCACCGTCACCACCACCACCGTCGCCCCCACCACTGCCACCGCCACCACCACCACTACCACCCCAGCACCACCACCACCACCACCGCCGCCGCCGCCGCCACCACCACCACCACCATCGCCACCATCACATATTTTTATAAGGGTATTCATGTCTTTTAAAACATATTTCATTTCTATTCCTTAATCAACCAAACACTGTAATATAATTCATAAAGTCTATTCCTTCCGCGAACCAAACAATAGAAACAATTTCTATTATATTCCTTGCCTATTCCATTCCTTATGGAATAGCATTCCTATTACCTCAAAATTCATTCCGTGAACCAAACGTGCTGTGACTTTTATCATCGCTTGTGCATAAACATCAATGTTTTATCTTCTTCTTTTTTCTTTTTTTTTTTTAATTCTTTTTCATATTTTGTTTTGCTTTTTTTTTTTTTCCTTTTCCTATTTTTCTTTTTCGTTCGTTTTCTCTTTTCTAATTATACTTATAAAAATTCCTCAAAAATCTTAATTGTTTATCATGTCCTAAGAAAATATGTTTTCTATTCTCATCTTTCATTAAAAAAAATGAAGGAAATAAACGCACCCTAAACTACGTCATTAATTTCGCATCTGACTATTGGATCACCTCCAATTCTCCAAAGTTGTACATGGATCTTTCTTCAAATTTACTTGATCCCATATCAATTTGTTTCAATTAAATAAATATATATATAACTTAGGTCATTCCATTTTTTCAAATCCGCAGAAACTCGCCTCACTACATAGGTAAAACGCAATCGTGCAATCAGCGTTAGATCCTAATTTTCACAATAAATTCAATCCAAACTTTTAAAACGCAATCGTGCAATCAGCGTTAGATCCTAATTTTCACAATAAATTCAATCCAAACTTTCGAAATTGCTCCGAAGACTATGTTATTTCTATTATTATTACTCATTGAAGAATTCCTTATTAACTATAAAAATAATAAAAAATATCTTTTATTCAAGAATAATAATTGTAAAAGTGAAAAGTTTTCTCTTAATTAAATTGAACATATAAAATGAACAAAAAGAGGTACTCCGTATTAAATTGTAACATGGTGTTATTATATAGTCGTAGCTTGAGTGAGGAGGAGTGTTCATAAGGGGAAAATAATGTAGGTGGCACGTCAAGATCATCAGCGTCGTGAAGCAATAGGCCTACTATGCTAAATCAATGCTACAATCTTATTTAATAATATTAATAATACTTCCTTATATAATTTAGAGTTAATACCTAAAATGGTCCCTCGACTATGCCATAATTACCAATTTGGTCCTCAACTACCATTCTTACCCAATTAAGTCCTCAACTATGCAACTTTTACTCAATTAAGTCCTCAACTATACAATTCTTACCCAATTTAGTCCTCAATTATACAATTCTTACCCAATTTAGTCCTCTGTATTAATTTGACTGTTTGTTGACTGTCAAAAGTCGGGATAAAATTATAATTTTACAAGATTTCTCCTTCCTCTCCATTTAGCAGCGCCAAACCATGCAGCAATACACTCCGATCAGATTTCGATCGTCAAAAAATCGTTGAAAATCAAATTCATGGGCTATCCGATGCACAACCACTACTTCGATACTGACAGGTTTAGAACCCAACCGGAGCTTATTGCTACATGGTTTAGCACTGCTAAATGCGGAGGAAGGAGAAAACTTGTAAAATTACAACTTTATTTCCACTTTTGACAGTCAACAAACAGTCAAATTGACAAAGGACTAAATTGGGTAAAAATTGTATAGTTGAGGGCTTAATTGGGTAAGAATGATAGTCGAGGACCAAATTGGTAATTACGACATAGTCGAGGGACTATTTTGGGTATTAACTCTATAATTTATTAAGTTTGATTCTTCTCCCATTTGGTGGATGTTTCTTCTCCGTAGTATTCTGCAATGGACTTCGGAACATGTTCCCAAAAGGAAAGACTTACGAAGGATCTCTTTCAGTTGCCCATTCCAAAGGCTTTAAAAATCTTTAATCTTTAATTTATGAATTAAATCTTAATTAATACTGTGAATTAGAACTAATTTCATTTCTCCCATATTATTAGATTCCTCCAAGGGTAAAACCGGGAAATCAATGATAAAGAGCGCCACTGTTCCATCCTTTAATTGTTCATCATTTGCAGGCCAACCTGGCTCCAGAATTCTCTACCATATTCCTCATATTTTCCTTTATTATTACTCCCCTAAAATTCTTTAATAATATTTTCAAATTTTTCATTTTAAAATATCCCGTCCTTTTCCCTCCAGTGCGACAGCTGTACTGAATAATTTCAAGGTCTGTTTTAATGGCCGCCAACTCATTTCAAGGTCTGTTTTAATGGCCGCCAACTCCAATAGACGTGGTCCAAAAGACTCTGCTTTTACAAAATCGAAAGTCCAAAGTCCAACCGCCATAAATTATTAGCTTTTAGGTCCGCAATTTCAAGTCCAGCTACATAGCACCCAAAGAAACAAGTAACCTGCAACCAACTAATTAAATAATTCAAAAATAATATACGGATGAGAAAATAAATAATCAATGAATAATAAATAAATAAATAATAAAATGAATAAACATAACTTACACACGCAAACAACGCAACGACGATGAACGGGTACACAACGGACGGAAAATGTCAACTGATAACGGCGGACTTGACGGAGAATGCGCAGAAACAACAAACGGGACGGGTCTCCACCCCCATCAAAGAGTATCAAACACAAGTCATCCCTCTCGAAAATTCGCAATTGAGATTGTTAGGTTTTAGATTTTTAATGAGTATGATTAGGAGTATTTATTAAATGTCCTTCGATTGCAATCAGTTTGCTGCAAATCGTATGTACAAAGTGAAAATTTCACTGTCCTGTAAACACCAAAATTGCATCGATAGCTAGGGTTTTGATTCACCATCTTCAACCGCAGCCAGAATCTGACGCCATCGCCGGAGTATCTTCTGCCGAAAACGCACAATCTTCAAACAGTATCATCTAAACCACAAACCTGTGAAACAAATAAATATCATAGATCCTCTGCTTTCGACATTCTCGAGAGCCGGCTCGGCCTAGGCTGGAAATCGCCTCTGCGCCTCTGGTGATGCGATGAAGGACGAATCAAAGCCGCCAAAGCTCGCTTCACTAAATCACCTTCTACGGTACCGATACGGACGAGCGAATTCGTCATTGCCGACCTTCGAGCGTTCAGCCGACTGGGGGAGTACGAAATCGACGGCGCGCGGTTCACGTTCTTGTGCAAACTACACCGGAAGGAGCCCGGATGTGACGTGGGAGAACACATGCACGTCTTCTTCGGGAGATTGGACAACGGATTTCCAATATTCTGCTTGCGGACCACCTGATCCCTGGACGAAACCACCATCGACCGCCGCGGAGAGATGGATCTATCGATGGAGAAACGCACGGACGGCACCGGAGTGAGAGGCGCAAGGCCGTGAAGGCTCACGCGCGTTGGAGACGTCGAACGGTGCAGGAAATCATTAGACGTGGACCGATTCATTAAGCCGGGAGACGGCGACGAGTAAAAGCTCGAAGCAGTCGACGAAGCGAACGACGTCGCATCTGGCATCATGGATGCTGAGAAACGGCCGGACGGCGAGAGCGACCGTTGAAAGCTAGACCGAATCGGTAGAACCGGTCCGCTTGATCTTCTAGAAGAGGTAGCCATTTTTCTTAGGAAAAGAAAAGAATATAAAAGAGAGAGAAAGAAAACAATATAAACTGAATCTGTTTATATAGATATATTTCTCTAAAGGGGGCCTGAGGCTCTTCAGTTTGGCAAACCCAGCGTTTCTGAAAGCCTGAATTTATAGGGGGAGGAGGAAGAAGGGCGGTTTGTAATTAGACCAAGTCTAGGGGCATTTTAGGGAATAGAGCTTAACCATGGTTAAGGCAACCAGGGTTAAGCAGTTGGTGAAAGTAGGAGATTCTGATCCAACGGCTGGAAAGCGATGTTGAGTACAAAATGACAGATGAAGGAGCCGTTTAATGGGGTAACGGTTACCGAGAAATGGTTGAAGGCAATGTGAGGTGCGTGTGGGGAAACGAGCGCTGATTTGGTTGCTTTTACCAAACTTTATTTAATTTAGTCCAACTTATTTATTTGAGCTTTCATGTCACTGCAGATTTTTTTAGTCAAACATTTTAATTCATTACCTAAAACTCTTACACACCGCTTGATTAGAATGAATGAATTAGAAAAAAAAAAAAAGGAATTATAATTTCATAAAAGAAATAAGATAAGAATAAAGTAAAAATGTTAAATACATTATTTGATAGGTAAAAATAAAATTATTGATAATTAAAAGAGAATAAATGATCTTATAATTGTATTCGGCAAAAAAAAAAAAAAAAAAAAAAAAAAAAAAGAGGATGCACTTGAATTACCATTACAACCTACCAAATATGCCATTAACCGAATTTGATAAAAATCTTTTGATTGAAAATATGCGCTTAGCTGTATGTCCCTATTGCATATCATTGCTACAATGTGTCAGAAATTAGTGTGATATTCTCATTAGTTTAATAATTAATATAGATTATTTTCAATTTATATGATAATTAACTTTGTAATATCAAATTTATTTTTGATTAATATGGGAGTTACAATTTTAAAATTTAAATTTAAATTAATGTTATGATTGAATGCCAAGACTATCATTATTTCTACCATATTTTCTTACTTTAAAAAAATTGGTCTTACTATTAAATCCTTAAATTTACAATTCATTTACTATTTCTTTTACATTCCTGCAATTTCAACTCACTTTAAAAAATGGGTCCACCTTTCACTCATGATAGTGTAATTCTTCCTACTTTCCAAGACTTGCAATCCTCGCTAAGGCTGACCACATCCCAGCCAAACTCCCCTTTGCAAAGTGATGTGGCAAAGCCACTTCACCATTTTCCATTTTTTTTAATTCAAAGGGATTTGCAAATTTGCTGAAATAGCAAATTTGCAAATTGATGAAAAAGCTGCCGCGGCAACTTTTGTACTTTTTATTTTTATTTTATTTTATTTTTTCTTTATTTTTTAATATTTTAATGTAATTAATAATATTATTTTAATATGTTGGGCCCACTTTTGAAGGTTGATTGAATTTGTAGGAGTGTAGTGTGAATAGTAGATGATTTGCAAATTGGATGATGTGGAAGTGGGATCCATTTTTAAGAGTGGGAAATGTTTGCAGGGATAGGGTTAACCTAATTTTGCATGGATTGCAAGCCACATTATTCTATTTTAAAAAAAAAAAAAACTTTTAATTTATAAATAGTGACATGGTTTATTCCATATCACTTTGAAAGGGAATAAATTTTAGGGATAATGATAGCATAATAAATTATAACTTTCCTATAGATGCATGGTTGGTTGTAATATTTTAGCATCTGAAAAATTGTTGTTTTCTACCAACATCTTCTCTAAAAATTCGGAAGTGTGTTCTCATTTGTTTAAGTTCACTGAAATTTATATGTATACTCGTAATATATATAGAACTCTTAGGATGAAGCAAATCAACTAAGCACCTTGTACTCAGATGGCACCCGGATTGAACTTTCATATAAGAGGTTGTGAATTCAAGTCTTAGTGGAGGCGTTATAGAGTCAAAATTATGAGTGACACAAGCCCTAGATCTTTTACATGTTATATAGTATGTGACAACACATTTTTTGAAATATTATTTTTGAATTAATTTCCCCACATATATTATACTCATACATCCCTCAAATTGGATGGAAGGTAAATAAAAAGAAAATTAAATAAATCCTTCTTTAATGTTAATATTTGATTGTCATGTTATGAATTAAGGAACAAACAATAAAATGAGAAAATTTTTAAGGAACTCTCAAATTTGGTTAAGAATGAATTAGGTCTTCAGACTATTTGGGGTAATACAATTAACTCCATGAATCACAAAAAATTTTTAATCAGACACATGATCTTAACAATAAAGTGCAATCGATCCCTTTTTAAACTAATTTACCTATAAAAATTGCTTAGTACTTACTTGCACGCCTATCATGTTACCTCACCTACTTTTAGTAGGCTTAATTGCACAATTTTGTCAAGTTCAAATATCAAATTAATTTATTTTTTTTATAATGCAAAAAATTAATTGCATTATTTCAAATGGTTGAATGGCATATTTAAACTTTATATTTTTAACACTCATCTATTCAAATTTCAAATATTGGTACACATTAATGCCAGCTTGAACTAGTTGTGTCATTGGTTTCAAAGGTACAACACATTAATTCTTTTAATCTTTATCGTTGAGCTAGAGTGATACACACGAGGAAGGTGCGTGGGATCCGCCATACAACTACAAGTGGTAAGGCAACTCACAACACCACTCAAGCTACGTGACTATATTTGTGGGTGAGATTTCAGATATCAAGGCCAAACATACTTTAACTAATCCTATTTCTGGTATGTCTTTTAATGTGGTACTTGGTTCATAAAAGGAAAATAAAAGGGTTATGAATATGATTACAGAAGTAATACTGATGATTTTATAGGGACCGGGTTCACCATAAATTTATTACCCGAGGCGCTAGGCTCAAAATAATGTGTACAAAGTCCGAGGTACAGGTTCAGAATGGCGGCCCAAATACAAAGAACAAGGCCTACGGGATGGGCTACTGCTAACTATGCTACTAGTAAGAATCGAACCCAGGTGACTGGATTGAGAGTATAGATCAAGACCACTAGACCAGGGTGTCTGTCGTGCCTGAGTTGCCCCCTTGTTGAGAACTCTGGCCCCTATTTATAGCCTGGCTCCCCACACCTTGCCCTGTCCACGTGTCCCATGCAATCCATCCCCACTCTCCCATTTATCGCTACGCAAGCGGGCACGTTCGCCATACCTCCAGGACTCCCGCGCATACCACCTCGGTCCACCATGCTCGGCGCACCCGCCCAGCACCCCCTCGGGAAGGGGGGGGGGGGTGCTGTTGACAATCTGGGGGGCGCATTGCCCTCGCTGGCCGGCCATGGCCGGTGGTGGAGGCTGCCCTGCCCGCAAACATAGATTATATATAATTGTCGCGCCCAAGTAAACAACAGTTGACGTAGGCTGGTGGTATAGTGCGCGCCTGCTGTGCTGGAAGGTGTGGGTTTGAACCTTGCTGACAGTGTCCATGCCTTTTACTCTAGTTAAGTGCCATGCTACCTGCCCTTTCCTGGCCACCCCGGTGGGGCACTGCCGGCCACGCCTCACCGCTGGGAACCCGGCGGGCCACTTCGTCGGTCGATTGTCGATTGTCCGCCGGCGAGTCTTGACGGAAAACTCCTTCTCCCCTCTTTTGGGCCCCCATGGCCCTTGTTTTCTTAGCCCAATAAGACTTGAGTTGAGTCAACCTCCTTGCTCCACCACCCCCACTTGGGTCAATACTTACCAATAAAATGGACCCCCGGGGTCCTATATCCCCATCAAATAGGATAAAGAAGAAATAAAATAGGAACTTTTTTTTTTCTATTTGTTTGATTGGAATATGGTGTTGGAAATTTTAGCTAAAATGTTATTTTGAGTTGTTATTTTGTGGTATAAGTATATGTGGAGTTCATTTGGGTCAGGTTAAAGCGAATTAAGGTTCTTCTAAGTAAAGCGAAGAAATCGGTATATTGTATATTGAAAACGGTGAATGGGTGAATGAGAACTTGATTATCAAATTGGACTCATTGGATTGGAAAAATGAAGTTAATTGACAAGACTATTAAGTAATCTTTGTCCCACATTGGAAAGGAATAGGAGTTTGTACTAGTATATATATAATTTCTTTTTAGAAGAAACTTGTATTGTTTAGTATAAAGGCTCTCTTATGATGTAAGAGTGCAAATCAAATTTCAAATTTATAAGGTAATAAGGTAATATAATATAATTGGTCATCCCCGTTCAATGACTTTTTCCACATCATAGTGTAACTTGTTATTTATGTGAGGATGATGTTAGATGTAGACCGTTAGCCAACCAGACTATTATTATTATTTATTAGAAATTAAAACATGTAACTAAATTAGATATTTAGGTTGATAGAAGAACAAAAATATGTTGTTAGATCATTATTATTTGTTATATTTTATTTTAACTATTTTGATTAATGATGATATTCATTGTTGTTTGACCTTATGATGATATTTATTTTTGAAATAAGGGTCAAATTGGCCACTGAACGTAATGCGAAAGTGCAATCAGACAATCGAACTTAAAAAAACGTGCAATCACTCCACTCAACGTTAAAAATACCTTCAATTTTACCTAGTAGCCGGTTTCTAACCCTTTGTTCCGGTTGATTGTTGACTGGACGATTACATGACATTTCTTTTTCTTTTTTTCTTTATTTTTTCCCTTTGTTTTCCTTTCTTCCCTATTTTTTTTAAAAAATAACATGTTTACCTGCCATATAGGTTGAGAATTTTAAAAATAATTTTAAACAAAAAAAATTTAAAAAAAAATTTAAAAAAAAAAAAAAAAAACAGAACGGCCGTTCTGGTTTTTTTTTTTTTTTTTTTTTTTTTTTTTTATTTTTAATTATTTTTGTTTAAAATTATTTTTAAAATTCATAACCTCCACATCAGCAAAGTATTAAGTAAACAGGTCATTTTAGACCTAATTGCATGAATTTGTGTAGTTCAAGAACTTAATTGTACTTTTTCTGAGTTCAATAACCTAATTGCAACTTGGTGTGCAGCCTATTTGACCATTATTCCTTAAATTTATAAATAACTTCAATTATGTGTCATTAACCCGACGTAACCCATACCAATCTTGCACAACCCTACACACGGGACAGTGCTGGGCAAACCCATGTGGCCTTAACGCATTTTGTCAATTTTAGTACATATCCATCCTATAATTCTTGCAAATACCCAACAAAATCAACACAAAAATGTAACAATATACAAGTCCAAGAAAACATCATTAGTTCTGTCAGGGGAAAAAAACAAACTAAACAATATTATTGTGTTTCAAATGTTTTCTCTTTAAATTGTTTCCCAAATTATGTGACATTATCTTAATATAATTCATATTTAGATCAATCAACTTATAAATAGGCAATTTTTATATAACACTTATTACAAGTTTAAGCATTTAACACAATATCCAATCCAATAAAAATTGGTTTTTTTCCTGAAAAAAAAAATAAAAGAATTCTATAGTTTTTTAAGTTTTTTTTTTTTTTTTCAGAATTGAAATGTAGAATATTCCTAACAACAACAACAATAAAAATTTAGGGATTGGTCTCGATTTGTTAGGAAAAATCTTCGGGCCCTGGAGATGGCGAGAAAACATGTGATCAGAACTTCAAGCATGTAAGAAACACTTTCCTAAAAGGTCTTTTTTTTTTTTTTACTTGAGCAACAAAGGTATTCAAATCAAAACGTATAAGTGACAATATGTCAAATAATATCCCATTGCTTTTCTATATTATTTTTTAAGAGTGTAACTTAGATTTTATTTTTCTCATATAAATTCTCAATAATTACTAAAAATTATCTTTCAAATTTTCTAGGCAACAAATAAATATAGTTTTTAATTTCTCCATGATCAAAGAAGTTGAGAAAGTAGTTAGTTATTGTTAGCCAGAATATTATTTTGTCACACTTTATATGTTGGTTTAATAATCTTTAGACTAGACTTAGTTTTATGTGGCTTTCCTATTAGATAGGATTTATTTGCGTAGACTTGTTTAACTATTTGTACTATGTTTCCTATCCTTTTGGTTTTTAATCAGAAATCATTTTATCTCATCTGGTATCAGTTATACCAGGTAACTGTTTCCCTCTCTCTCCCACCATCCTTCCCGTATCCCTCTCTCCCAAAATATACCGAATCACCACCATGTCAGCCTCCTCCGAACGAACAGTCTCGGCCGACGGGAATGCTACTCCGGCAACGACTCCGAATCCACTCAGCGGTGCACACCATTTTGTATCGCTGAAGTTGACGTACAGGAACTTCTTGTTCTGGAGAACCCAGCTAGTTCCTTTATTTTCTTCGTGGCCAAGAACTCATGGGGTATGTTGACGGTGAATTTCCATGCCCTCCAGCGGTGATTGACGCCGCACCGGCAACCGGCGAGTCCACGACGTCCACCTCCTCGGTTCCCAATCCGGCCTACAAGGCCTGGATTAAGCAAGATCAGACATTACTCTCTCTTCTCATCTCATCCCTTTCGGATGAGGTGATGCACCTTGCGGTTGGGCAGTCCACATCCAAGGTTGTTTGGGACTCCATCAACACGGCGCTGACTAGTTCTACGCGTGCGAGATGTCTCGGACTCCTCGGGCAGTTTCACGCCCTCAGGCAAGGTGGCAGCAGCACGGCTGAGTATCTCGGCCGAGCTCAGATGTTAGTGGAGGACCTTGCGCACGCCGGTCGTCCAATTTCGCTAGCCGAACAGAACATGTTCGTTCTCCGGGGCTTGCGGCAAGAATATCGCTCCATGGCGTCGTCGTTGACTGCGGCTGGCACTCTAGTCACCATACCGCAGATTGCGGATTATCTCCGGGCGCAGGAGTTTCTCCATGCGGAAGATTATCCGGCGCATCCTGAGCACGGGAATCCAGCTGCATTCTACGCTGGCCGGGGCCGCAATGGTGGATGAGGCGGTTCAGGCGGACAGAATTCCGGCCGCGGCAACTCCGGGCATCCGAGTCGCGGCAATGGCAGAGGAGGTGGTGGCCGTGGTAGAAACGATCGAGGCGGTGGCAGTGGTCCTCGCTGCCAGATCTGCAGAGCACAAGGGCATACCGCCCTTTACTGTTTTAAGCGGTATGCTCCGCAGCCGGGTCCGCAAGCCAACATGGCAGTCCCGGGTGATGATGCAGCAACAAGCTCCGGCGCCTCGGGTTGGTTTCCAGACACTAGGGCCACGGCACATGCCACACCGGATCCATCCTTGATGTCACTGTCCGACAAGTATAATGGTGGTGATGTCCTGCGCGTTGGTAATGGCGCAGGTTTGATGATCTCACGAATTGGACATGCTTCTATACCATCCGTGTCTAATGTTTCTAAATCACTTAATTTGTCAAATGTGTTATATGTTCCGCAATTAAGTGTCCCATTGTTATCTGTTTACCGTTTAACAGATGACAATTGTGTCTTCTTTGAGTTTCACAGAAATTGTTTCGTTGTGAAGGATTCGGTCAATCGGGAGGTTCTGCTTAAAGGCCCTACGGTTGGCGGGTTGTACAAGCTTCCTATTTCTCAATCCCACTTCGCGTTTCTTACATCCCGCACCACTCCAGTTGTTTGGCATCGCAGGTTGGGTCATCCCCATGCACATGTCCAGAATCAGGTCCTCAAGTTATGTCCAGTGTCACCAAATAAAACAAAGCCGGGCGAATTATGCTCATCTTGTCAGCTTGGAAAATCTGCTAGATTTCCTATAAATAGAGTTTCTTTTACTAGTACAAATGTGTTAGATTTAATTTTCACGGATATATGGGGTCCGGCACATGTAATCTCTACTAGTGGATACCGTTACTTTTTGCTTTTTGTAGATGATTTTTCGCGCTTTACGTGGTTTTACCCCTTACGGGTAAAATCCGATATATACAACTGTTTCGAGTCGTTTCGGGTCATGGTAGAACGCCAATTTTCGCGTTCTATCAAGTGTGTTCAGTCTGACTTAGGCGGGGAGTACCGCAAACTCCATCAAGTGTTCGAAAAGTTAGGCATTGTTCATCGCCAGTCTTGTGCGTATACGCACGAACAAAATGGCCGCGTTGAACGCAAAAATCGACACATAGTCGAAACAGGGTTAGCCCTCCTAGCCGAAGGCTGTGTCCCGCTACAATACTGGGACTACGCCTTTGAGACAGCCACAAATTTAATCAACTACTTACCTACTCCCGTCCTAAACTATTAAAGTCCATACAGTTGTCTATATAAAACCACACCACCATACACTTTTCTTCGAGTCTTCGGGTGTCGGTGTTTTCCCTATCTAAGGCCATATAATCGGCACAAGATGGAATACCGCTCGACACCTTGCGTCTTCCTAGGTTATCCCCCATCCTTTAGGGGCTATAGATGCATGGATCTAATAAGTGGGAAAATCTATATCTGTCGTCATGTACGCTTTGACGAAACTGTTTTCCCTTTTTCATAGTTGCCTACACAGGAATCAACTACATCTATGACCCCTGCTTTACCTTGGGCGTCAAGCCCGGTTGTCACACAAACGGGGCCCACAGCCGCTGTTGATTTGGGAAGACCACGGTCTCCGAGTCCAATACCATTGGCCAAGAGCCTGCCCCCTTAACTATTGAAGGCCCAACACGGCCCAAAACTCGGAGAAAAAGGGTTGCACGGACCGAGCCTCAAGATCGAGGCCATACAATGAGGTTACGGCATATGACTCGTGGTACTGGTGAAAGTTTTCAAGCTCTCACTGTGACGGCTGACCCCACTTGTTATTCACAAGCAGTCGGACACTCAGAGTGGCGAGGTGCTATGGACCAGGAGTTCAATGCGTTATTGCATAACAACACTTGGACTCTAGTGGCTCCTTAACCGGATATGAATATTATTGGGTGCAAGTGGGTGTTCCGTACCAAACGGACCGCGGATGGCTCCGTGGAACGGTACAAGGCTCACCTGGTTGCGAAGGGGTTCAACCAGGTAGCTGGCGAGGACTTCTTTGACACGTTTAGCCCTGTAGTCAAACCGACTACAGTCAGGTTGCTGTTCTCTCTAGCCGTCTCACATAACTGGACTCTAAGGCAACTTGACGTCCACAATGCCTTTTTAAATGGGCACCTAGCAGAGACAGTATATATGAAACAACCACCAGGGTATGAGGACCCGACTCATCCAGATCACGTGTGCCACTTACAGCGGTCTCTGTATGGACTCAAGCAAGCCCCACTGGCGTGGTTCAAAAGACTGCATGATTATTTAATCACTACAGGGTTTTCAGCATCTAAAACTGACGTCTCTCTTTTCCACTATTCAACTGGTGACTCTCGTGTTTACCTGCTGGTGTATGTAGATGACATCATCATGATGGGTAATGACCCTACGCTCATTACCTCCCTACTTCGGCGTCTGTCCAATACCTTCAAGATACGTGACCTAGGCTCGCCTGGATTCTTCCTTGGTATTGAAACTTTACACACTACCGACGGTATTTTGTTATCTCAACGCAGGTACATGAATGATCTGTTGACTCGGACAGGTATGTTGGATTGTAAGCCCTTAGTCAGACCAGCGTCGGTCACCCAGCCCGTATCGTCTACTGCTGTTCCGCATGATAATCCGACGCAATATCGTCGGGTAGTTGGGGCTCTACAATATTTGATTATTACGAGGCCGGATCTCTCATATGCAGTGAATCGTCTATGTCAGTTTATGCACGCGCCGACTACTGATCATTGGGGCTTGGCTAAAAGGGTACCGCGGTATATCAAGGGTACTCTGGATTATGGTCTTCGCATCACAGTCTCACACTCCGCTGCTATTCATGCCTACTCTGATTCCGATTGGGCGGGTTGTCCTCTTGACAGGAAGAGCACTGGTGGGTATGCAGTGTTCTTAGGTAAAAATTTGATCTCGTGGCTTTCCAGGAAACAGCGCACAGTGGCCCGATCGTCTACTGAAGCCGAGTACAAGGCTCTTGCAGATGTTGCTGCAGAAGTAACTTGGGTTGTCTCGTTACTCAAGGAGCTTGGTCTGCACACTGGTGAGCCACCCGCTCTATGGTGTGACAATTTGGGTGTCACCTACTTATGTGCGAATCCAGTTTTCCACGCTAGGACTAAGCATGTGGAAATCGATTTTCACTTTGTTCGGGACAAGGTCGCTTCAGGGGACTTGGTGGTTAATTTTGTGTCCACCAAGGATCAGCTCGCAGATATTTTCACCAAGCCACTGCCAGGACCGCGCTTTTCAGCTCTTCGGGACAAGCTCAATGTTGTTGCGCACCAGCCTTGAGCTTGAGGGGGTGTGTTAGCCAGAATATTATTTTGTCACACTTTATATGTTGGTTTAATAATCTTTAGACTAGACTTAGTCTTATGTGGCTTTCCTATTAGATAGGATTTATTTGCGTAGACTTGTTTAACTATCTGTACTATGTTTCCTATCCTTTTGATTTTTAATCAGAAATCATTTTATCTCATCGTTATAAATAGGTACTGCATTGTAATAGTGTTAGTAGTACTAACAAAAATCCCAACAAGACAACAACCGCTTTAATTACCAAACCTATAGAAGTTAATGGGACTTCTTATCTCATATATTATAAAATAATTTAAATTTAATATTTGAGTTATCCCTTAAACTTAATATATGTGAAATTGACTAGAAAAACATCGCTCAAGTCCATGCAAATTCTTGACCTAATTCAATGTGTCAAGTTTGAAACTCAACACATCAAATATTCTTTTAAAAAAAATGATGAAATTCATTGCTTGAATACGGCATTTTAAGCCAAAAGCCTTATGGTTTTAGTCGCATGTAGTGGTTCTCCAAATAAAAGGTTATGATTTTGAGTCTAAATATGAGCGATTATAAATTCTTCTTTCAAAAGGTTGAACCCCAACTCTAAGGCCTTCTGCACCCCGGCCCGACAGAGCATTTTGGGAGGATATAAATCATGGTGACTCAACTGAACATGAACCACATATGCTAGACCGGTGCTCACTGCGATTATAAATTCTTTAGATTTAAGTAGGTTGAGAAAGATATGACATTTTAAATTCCAAATTCAATGTATCGAATTAAGCCCAAAATAGTAGTTGGCAAATTATTGTGTGGACCATGGTCCACGTAGTGTTGTATGAACCATAAAAGAAAGTACATTTTTAATGTACTAAAAGTACATTATTTGTGTACTGAATGTACATTATACATTCAGTATTCAAATAATGTACTTTTCCTAAAAACAAAATACAATTTTAATATACTAAAAATACATTATTTGTATACTAAATGTACATTATTTTATAGTATACAAAATATGATCCACACAACTTGTGTGGACCATGGTTCACACAATAATGATTGAGTAGAGTTAAACACTTCCCTATTATTGCAAAAACCTCTTCTTCAGTATTGCAACTTCTCTAATTTACTTCTGTTATTTTACTTCACTAAAATTCAAACTCTTTTGATTTTTCCAAAAATAAAACTCATCTAATTTCATAACTCCTATGAAATTTCCTAAAAGAAGAATAAAATCACTCTTACTAATTTTTCGGGAACATAAGACAATTACTTCTCTAAATTTCTCAAGAATAAAAGTCTTTTGCCAAAAAAAAAAAAAAAAAAAGAAAAAAGAAAAAATACGAGTCATATTTTCATCATTGAAATATAAGAGTATATAGAAAACAAACTTTTCTAAAAACCAACCAAAAGATAAACCTTCATATCAATAAATTAAATCTTCTATTAAGTTTAAAATAATATTTCAATTCCAGAAACACCAAATATTACTTAAGTTCCGGGTCTATGTGGTCTAATGGTATCCGGGTTGGACTTCCATTTGGAAGGTTGTAAGTTCGAGCCTTAGTGGAGGCGTTATTGGCTCTTTGTGTTTCAGTAGGTTGAGAAAGTATATGAACAGATACTACAATGTAATAGAGCTAGTAGTATTCAAAAAAAAAAAAAAAATATTACTTAAGTTCATGATAATTAACCATTTTAATAATATCCAATATAATACATGATTGGTTACAATTAGAAATCATTACAATAGTATAAGGTATAACTATGTACTGTAACATGTATTATTAAAAACAATTTCAATAATATCCAATACAATAATGTTTTGCATCAAGTAATATTGGAATGGCTTTCAATAACACTGGTTAATATACATAATTATAGTTGATAATATTAGAAACCATTTCAATATTATACAAATATCATCACATTTTATATCAATACTAATGTTATTTAGTAGTAGTACTAATAATAATAATAATCATAATAATAATAAAAATAATAATATGGATCCATTATGAGTGCCAATTAGGCTCATAACAAGATCTAAGTCCAATCAGCTAAGACAACTCTTTATTCAATAGTTATATCGTGCACCGGGGCACACAATGCATTATTTGCCCCGCCTTGCCTAAAACGACTTCGTTTTGTTAAGTTGTGTGGGGAATTGACGCGACAGAGTTTATGTGTATTCTGTTATACAATTATGTACATTCAAAACAAGGGATTTTTTTAAGAGTTAGGAGTTTATGTGTATTATGTATTATGTATTATGTTAGATTATGTTTATTATCCTTTCAAAAAAGAATACGTGTATTCTGTTTTACAATTATGTACATTCTATTACACAATTATGTACAGTTGAAACATGAGATTTAAAAAAAAAAAAAAAAAAAAAAAAAAAAAAAAAAAAAAGTTAACACCAAACACGAGAACGCGAATTTTCAAAAAAAAAATATACAAAACAACATCATTTTGTGTCGGGCACACAATGCATTGTGCGCCCTAGTGCACGATATAATTTGCTCTCTTTATTGGATATGTGCAAAGATGATGAATTTTAAATGGAAGTTCAAGCCCAAATGATGACTAAGAGCTTAAAGATTATTTAATTGTATTTTTGTTATAAAGTTAGGTAATTAACTCATTCACGCAATACACGTATAAAACTAGTTTCTTTATAAAAAGTACACAAGTGAATAAAACAGTGTCAAAGGAAATTCAAGTTGTGTGTTATAGACATTTTCTTTAAAATTAATTCACTATCTTCGAAGAGTGCTAGGAGTATTGTAGCTTCAATTTTCTAAAATAAAATAAATTCTGACATTATATTTTTTTCGGCAAACTTAACTTGAAAAAAATAAACACTTTTAGAAATTGAGGAGAAGTTGGGAAAGATTTTCTAGAAGCTTAGGAGAGAATAGAGAGAACTAGAATTTTTAGAAGCTGCAAACTTCATTCTACCCAACAACCTGTTTTTATTAAAGATTAGGAACTCATCATTAGTAATAATGACATTTAAAATTGAATATAACATTCAATTTTTGTAACTCCCAAAACTAAAAATGTAATCAAAATAAATATGATGTTAAAAGTTTAATTCAATTTACCTCTTCCAGCGCCTTTAAGCAAAGGTTCTAAATGCTTAGAATTAGTCTAGTGTAAGCCGAGAAACCTAATGTATAAAAAAAATAATGAAAATCATCTTTCTGCATTCTTATGCCCACTATCTGTTGCAATCATGTTTCAAGAAAACAACTACTCTTATATAGTTTTTTTTGAAAGGATTCTTATATAGTTAGTAATCCACAAATAAAGGTTCAAGCCTCAAAGATAAAGATGCTAGAGAAGAGTAGCTAAAATACTTATCCCTGCTCACTATTCCCTAATGTACTTATCTCCATCAAACTCATCTTCTGCAGGTTTTGGCGTATGTGCTTTTGTATACACACGGTGTCGCCTTTCTCTTCCGTATATCACCCAAAACGTGAGCGAAAGCATTACTGAAACTGCAACAACCACCAGCCCGGTGTACACCCATTGGCTGTAGCGCCGTAGACCAGGACAGTGAGTTGTGTATATTTCAGTGAATGTGTCTCTCACAAAATCGCAATCTTCCAAATCAACCAGGAAGTGCCCATAATTGTACAAACCATAGCTCACGTTTACGGAGGCCATCATCTGGCTGTAGAAATCTGGAGTCAGTCGCCCGGGTGTAACGCACAAGCCACTCGAAGATACTTGGCACACATACTTACTCCACACCTGCAGGATGCAAAAGTGAAGATCAATTTCTCCTCTGGAATGACACACATTTCCATATAGACGTTGAGAGGAATTGAAGCATGTGCTCTATCTCAACTAAAAGTCTAAGCTGATAATTTGATGGCACATATATTATATGCTCAACACGCCCCCTCACGTGTGCAACTTGGTTGCTTTTCACATGCTCCAAGCAAGCACGTGGACCATATGGCTCTAATGTGTTCTATCTCAACTAAAAACCTAAGCTGATAATTTGATTGCACATATATTATATGCTCAACACACCCCTCAAGTGTGCAACTTGGGTACTTTTGACCTTTGGCAAGGGGTTGGCTCTGATGTGTTCTATCTCAACTAAAAGGCTAAGCTAATAGTTGGATTGCACATTTATGTTTATATATTATATATGCTTAACATTTTAAACGTAGTACCTCTGTTGCATTGTTGAAATCCACTTCACCGGGACTGCATGCTCGATCAGTCAGGTCACTATTATATGGATTGCAAAGTTGTGGCACCAGTGGACCAGATTGGTTGTAGTAAAACGGAACAAAAACAGGAGCAAAATTATTGTTGGACACATTGGTTATGACGAGGTTAATAACGATAGTTAATTGGGACGTGACTTCCTTGGTTTTCTTCAAAGTCTCTTGTGCAGTGGCATTGTCTACACAAGGCAGTATGTCGTCCAAAGCCGTTTTAGCAGTTGGGTTTTGGACCCACTGGTTCATCGCTACACAAGTGTCTCCTGTCACGCTGCATATCAAGCATCCATCCCAAAACCAATTCACCAACAAACCATGAATTCAGGAAAGCATTACATCACAAGTCGCTAATTAAATATTAAAAAAAAAAAAAAAAAAAAAAAAAAAAAAAAAAAACTTACTTGTGTAGAAGAAGAAATATGCCACATAAAATGAAAGTCGCTGTTACAAGAAACCATCCAACAATAACCAAGCTGCAGAGGGAAATGCAATGAAACTTCAGAGATAACAGGAGAATAGAGAGAGAGAGGGGGGTATAGAACAATGATACGAACTGCCTAGCTTACATGTAAACGAGAAACTGCAGTCCGAAGATTGACAACACTGGCAAAAAAAAAAAAAAAAGATTCAATCAAATGAATCGGTAAACAGAACTGTTAAAATGTTGTCAAGCACCGGCCTTAAAAATCGTACCAAATCCAAGGAATGTCAAGGCAAGCATAACAGCCGATAGTACAATAAGCGCAATTCTCCTGCATTAATGCTTGTTTATCAGTATTGTTAGGATTAAGCGCTTACCACTGGACCAAAAACTTTATTTCCTTATATACTGCCACCACATTTTCGAGAGGGGCAGTGTACTGGACTTGACCCTTCACCGGCCTGACTTCCGCCCAACAAGTATATATGTTCTTATTATGACCGAAAGAAATAAGCTTCTTAGACAAAGCAGAAAAAAAGAGAAATTCCTATTTATATTCACTTACACGGACTCTATCACGTCTTTTATATCATCTTTATTGTCATCTGCTGTCTTGGCAAGGTCACTAGCAGAAGAATTGATTTTAGTTTGAATGGCATCAATATCACTTTGGACATTAGCGGGGAGAAAGACTTTATCCACCGCAATCTGCTTGGCTGCTGAGAAATAACCCGAAACATCCCTAAGACTTCCAGCAGTGCTATTTGCCTGCTTTACTACATAGTCCAAAGTGTTTATCGTACTACTGTGAAATTTTCCCTGCCCAAAGTATAGAATAACACATCCAACTCTGAACACCAAAAAAACAAAAAACCAAAGAACAATTAGAAATGAAGGAAGAAATAAGATATTTGGCGAAGGAGGGAGGGAGAGAGAGGTACATTGCAACTACGGTGAACAATACAAGGAGAATAAGCGAAAGAGCATAAGCTATTCGAGAATATCCATAAGGTTCCCTTCGGCAGCAACAGAAGCAAAAGCAAATGAACAATAAGCATAGTCCAAAGATCGCGAACCAGATGAGAGCGACTAAGAAGAACGGAACTGCAGTAAAAGCCACAGACTGCATGAAAACAGATTCTAGCATCAGAACAGGCCAGTTAAATTCCAGAACAAAATGGTTCTTGCTAAGATATTTACATCTTCATTGTACATCGCAAACAATGTACCAAAATCAATATTTTCGGGGACAAATATACTATGAGTAGAAAAACTGTATTGTTTAAATCTCATATATGGTCCCCCCACAAACAAAAACAGGAATTCTTTAATTAGCAATTCACCAGGTGTTCCCTCTTTGCTTTAATTTCTAGTGAAAAAATCAATCAGTAAAGGCATTTATTTGAATATATAATTGCCCCAACTTAGATATGCTTTCTCACTTTTAAGACAAAGCTCTCAACTTTCAAGGAACCCTTAGCCACAAAGATGGTACATGCATACCAAAAAACACACATATACAGCATCATAAGTACATTCTTTACAATAACCATGGGTGTATGAGAGTTAATTTTGAAAAAGTCACAAAATTTACTAGTTTCTCAGACAAAAGGTAAAAGCTTTAGCACTTACACCCCAGTAATGGCGGTTGCTAATGTTCCATCCACCTGTGTATCTCTTGAAATCATCGAGAGGGTCTTTCCTATATGTCCTCTTAGCAGCCAGGATGAGTGATGAGTTCAGTGGAGGCTCTTCTTCTTCAAGAACCCTTCTTCTCTCCCCAAAAATCACTTCATCAGTACTATAAATTTCCCCTTGAAAGTCCCCTTCAAATTTTTTTAAAAGCCCAAAATAAAAATAATAATTAAGTGGGTAGCTCAAGAAAGAAGAAGAAAAAAAACCCAGCAAAATAAAAAGGTAAAGTAAAGAACCTGAAAGGGGAAAGTGGGAAATGTGCTGATGTTTTGCTTTTTCTCCTCCTCCAAAACAGACAAAGGTAGAGGAAGAGAAAAGCAAGGAAATAGTTAGAAGAGAAAAGAGGAGTGACCCTTTGCACAGCATTGTGTTTGTACCAGCTACTATGGCTGGAAATCTCCTTGGAAGCACTGGAGAGGGAAAGTTATCAAGAATCTGTGATGTCTAGAGTTTAAGAAAAGAGGGAGAGAGAGAGAGAGCTAAGTAGTGAAGAACATGTGTGGAAATGTGAGCAGAAACAGATATGACGACAGAGACAGAAAGAGAGCTGTGTGGGAAGTGGCTATGGAATTTTGAGTTTGGACAATGTGCAGAGTGTGATAGTGTGATGGACAGTGGCAAAAGGACAAATGATGCAGATGGCATATCACATCTATTTCGGTTCATATTTTGTCAACTACAATTACGCACTATAAACTTTACTAATATTACTGTAATTAGTGGGAATAATCATGGTTTGTACTGTAAATTGATTTTGGGTTGAATGATTGAGCCATGCCAAATTTTGACGTTATTCCCATAGAGCATACGGAATGATGTAAATCATGTTATTATTGTGCACAAAGAGTCCTCTCACTTTAAGAGTTGTTTTCACACTGTCGTTGATGAGACTCGATCCCTGATCATTCTTCTCAAATTTCACCTATATGATCAACTAAGCTGTCCATACGAGCTACTTTTTGATTTATGAAAAAAATGTGTCGTTGCTACACAGAAGTACACTCTAATTCCTGAGTAAAAAGTCAATTATAACTCTAACCAATAAAAAAACTATAATAAAATAGGTTATTCGTCGCTAGCCAACTCAAATAAAAAAATTAACAAAGAACTTTCATAAGAAGTAAATTTTAAAATCTTATAATTATCTGACAAATTATCATATCAATTTGGTTGGATTACCCTTATATTCTTACTTAACTCAAATGGTAGATCACCTTACCTAAAGTCACCACTCCAGTGATATGATAGGAGTTGAATTTCGACCAACAATATTTTAGACTTAAGACTTCTCAGGAGTTTGGATCTTTAGGCTCCTTAAATTAGAGATTAGAGAATTCGACTAATATGAATTCTCCAAATTTATAGAAGTACAAAAATACACCCATTGTACACATAATAAGCCGATTAAGAGGCTACTTGGGTAACTCAAGATTTATATCTATATATGTCTTTTGAGGTATAACTGGTCCAATGTAAGTTGAGAAATGTGTTCTGATAAAAAAAAATGTAATATGTAGCTTTTGGTAGAGAGTGGAGAAACACCGAAAGCTGCGCTAATCCCTAAGGTATGTCTTCTGGACACCAATTTCTACCGCGTACCGTTCACTATTCTAAACCTATTCACATTGCATCCATTCTATATTGCACTTCAGACTTCATTCATACTTTAATATTGCTTTATTTTTCAAAAATATTACTAAATTTAAATATTCACCAATATAAAACATACCTTTAAAATAAAAATAGCTACAATAGTTAGCTTATTCTTTTTTAATACTTCATAAAACAAAAAATAACTCCCAATGTTTTACAGATGGATCTTTAACCACAACAATGCTTTAATTACTCGTATCTTCTAAATTCAATACGAGATGAAAAACGTTATTCAAGAATCGATGGATAATGTAAATCACGCCGAACCCTCACTATGTCGCTGAAGTGCTGACTTTATATCAGGTGACCTATCATTTCAATTAACCCCGCGGGACTTAATTGTGTTAGACTTATTCAAAAAATATATTTAAAACAGATTAAAGGAATGCAATTCGAATTTAAATTTACTTTTTAAAAAATACATTAAAAGATATTATCAAACCATATTATAAATTACAAAATATTTTAGTTTATCTAATAATATAACAGATAAATTAACTAAAAATTTAAACAAAATATACTTATGACCACTATTTTGGAATTATAACAGAAATATCATCACACTACATAGTAATTAGCAAATCAACATAACTTATTTATTCAATAGAAATTGAATAACAAAAAAAAGTATACAATTATGTTTAAAAATGACACACACACATCTGCAAACAAGTAAAGCTTCTCATCAACTATGTTTGTCTAGTTGCTTGCAAATATTTGCTTGGCAAGTTATTATGTGAATCATAAAAAAAATACATTTTTGATATAATAAAAGTACATTATTTGTATACTAAATGTACATTTATATTTTAGTACTTAAGTAATGTACTTTTCATGAATACAAAATACATTTTTAATAATTAATATACTGAAAGTACATTATTTGTATATTGAATGTACATTATTTGATAATATATAAAATAATATACTTCTAAATAATGTATTTTATATACATAAATATTATATTTTTTATTTATGGTTCACTAAATTATACAATCAAAATAATTTAATATACTAAGTGGCTTGTGGTCCATTAGTATCAGATTGCTCTTCTATGTGGGAGGTCTAAGTTTCAAGCCTTGTTGTAGGCATAGTTGCATTTTTATTCCGTGCCAAAAAAAAAAAGAATAATAATGATATTTGTATTTTGTGATATTCTAATGGCCTTGTTTGGTTAATGGCGGATCCGCCAAATTTTGGCGGATCCACCATTTTGGCGTTTTGACAAAATCATGTTTGGTTATCAGCGGTTTGGGGTTGGCGTTTTGGGAAAAATTAAATTTTTTCCAAAACGCCCCTGTTTATATTAAAAAAAAAAAAAAAAACTTAAAACTGATTGAGGAGCCGAAATGGCTCCTTAATTTGAGGAGCCAAAACGGCTCCTCAATGTTGCCCATCTGGGATGGGCAACAAATTTGTGGAGCCTTGAGAGCCTCAAGGCTCCATTCCCACTTTTCCCACTGATGTGGGACGGTGGGAAAAGTGGGAATACAAGAGGGGAGCAGCTTGTGCTGCTCCCTTCTTTCGTTTTTTTTTTTTTTTTTTTTAAAATTATTATTATTATTATAAATTACAAATTATAATGTATACCCTTATGGTTATTTTACATGTTAACCGCCAATCTAAACAGTTAATTTTATCAAATATTTTTTTATAAATCGCTAATACAATTTGCTGGTCAAACTTGCTAATACAATTCGCTATCTGATAACCGCTAATACAATCCGCTACCGCTGACCGCTAACCGCTGATAACCAAACAAGCCTAATGTCTAAGTGAAGGCAATTATTTGGAGGGTGAGGGAAAATATTTAATACGGAGTACTCTTTTGGGCCCCCTTAGATGTGCAAAACTTTTGTGGTCACATTCTCCAAGTAATTACAGCACATATAGGCTCTTGTTGCTGGTAACTTTTTGACTTGGATGCTCTAACGTAGGACCCACCAATGACCACACAATATACTCCTCCTTTTATGTATTATTATTATTATTTTTTAAATCATCCGAAGATAATACTAACGAGTCGGTCTTTACTTGCACGTTCTCATACCTTCATTCCTCCAACCAACTCAAAGCTTTTCAAGTGGCAACTGTCTCGGCTTCTTAAAAATTCACAATGCGAAATTTCATTAGTAAAAATTCACAATGCGAAATTTCATTAGTAGAAATTCACAATTCGAATATTACAAATATAGGTGGGACGGTAATAAAATTACTTCATACAATTAACCTAAAAAAAAATACTACGTTTAATTCATAGATTATTACTTGATAAAAAAATATACAAATATAAGCAAAATAGATCAACAAATCTTTGAGATCAAATAAAACTAAATCAAAAGAAGACATACAATCATCTTGTTTTAATTTTTGGATAACCTGTAAAAAATTAGTTTTCACTTGAACATTATTAAGATATCAAGTAATCATCTAACTAAGTGCTTCTCGAATTACAATAGCGTATGCTTCTTTCAAGGAGCAAATGCCCTTCCAAGTTGTGCTCTTGGTTACCATAAGCATTCCATATTTGTGAAGGATGACCCACTTGAAACCTATTCCCCCTCCTTTAGCATTGTTTGTAGCATCAACATTAAGCTTAGTCCACCTAGAACAAGGTTTTTCCCATTTCACAAACACAATGAAATGTGGATTAATAAGGCATTTTTTGTCTTAATTCTCCGCTATGTAGAGGTGTTCAATCGGTTAACCGAACCGTTTTAACCGAATTTTTTAAAATTTTAATCGTTAACCGAACTGAACTTTCTGTTACTGGAATTAATTGAACCGAATTTTTTTTCGATTAATCTGTCGGTTAACTGATTAACCGAACTTTTTTAAACTAAAGTTTAAAATCTTAAAAATAATACATATAATAATAAATCCATAAGAAAATATACAAAAACAATATCATAACAACATTACAAAACATATATATATATATATATATATATATATATATATATATATATATATATATATATATATATATATATATATATATATATATATATATATATATAATTTCGGTGAACCGAAGTTTCGAACACCGAAATTTTGAAAAACCTTTAACCATTAACTGAAGCGAAAAAGTTCTCTTAAAAAATGGTTAACCGAACTTTGTCGGTTAACCGAAAATTTGTCAAAATTTACACACCCCGCCCTATGTCACTTTTATAGTATATTAAAAATATATTTTTTGTTATAATTCATATAGCACCGTGTGGACCATGGACCATGGTCCACACAATAATTTGCCAACTGAATGCCCACTGGGCCTATATAGCAGGATAAGCCCATTAGGCACTATATGGGCCTATAATTTACACTAATCCAAGTCCTTTCATGAAACACCCATAAGCCCATAAGAAACATAGCATTTTAGGGTTAGGAGTTTAAAGGCAACCCTCGCTTCCATCTCTTCTGCAACGCCTAGGCTTTTAGCTGCTCCATTTCACTTCCACAGCACCTCGGAGCCTCCAACCATGGCAGAGCAGGTATTCCTCTCCTTCAATCTCTCTCTCTCTTTCTCTTTGTGTATGTAAATCAATGTGCTGTGAATTTACGGTGAAATTGAATGGATTTGCTTTGTGTTGCAGACGGAGAAGGCTTTCTTGAAGCAGCCAGGAGTTTTTCTCAGGTATGATTATGCGATTATATACCTTCCTAGAATGGTACCAATATGCACTATTATATGTGTGTGAATACTGATTTACCGTGGTGTGCTTAAAGATTGCATTTTTTTTTTTTCCATTTGAATTGGCAGCTCGAAGAAGACTGGTAAGGGAAAGCGGCCCGGTAAGGGAGGAAATCGTTATTGGAAGAGCATTGGTCTCGGGTTCAAGACACCCCGTGAGGCCACTGAAGGTACACATCTACTTTTCTGACCTGTTTACTGAATAAATTTAGCACATATATGGATGTTTTTGGTCTACTTCCAGCTCTGCTTGCTTACTGCCAATAT